GCCCCACCAGTGCTTGTTCCATCTCAGAGGCCCCTGCACACTGGTCGCCCCAGCTGGCAGAGGGCTGGTCTCCATCCTGGGACCACTGGGTCACCAACCAGTCCTCAGCACTAACATTCCCATCTTGCCCTGAGCACGGACCCCAGAGTCCAGGCTGGCTGCTGTCCCTGCCCAACAGGTTGGGTGGGGAGTGGACCCAGTGCACAGCACATCCTGTCTCCAAGGCAGCTGAAAGGCTGATGGTGGGGGTGGGGTGGGGAGTCCCTATGGTGGGAGCTCCAGGGTGCTCAGGGCTGGGAAACCGCCATGGTCCCTTTGGATGTGTGTGGGGGAGTGGGGCTCCCCAGGAAGGCAAAGCTCTCCTTTTTAACTGTTGTGCACCTGCTCCAGAATGACCCTTTCTCTGCCCAGATGCCCTTGGTAAACATTTGAGTTGGAAGCTGAGCTGTGGTTGTTTGAAAGGACTTAAAGCCCTCCTTGCCCTCCATGTCCAGGAGCTGAGCCCCCAGTGAGGGCATTGACCTGGGGGTGCCTGGCCCCCAGCTGAGGCTTGTCTGAAATCCTGCTCTGCCTGCTTCAGCATCATAACTCAGTGGACTCTGCACCTTGGGTGGGTTGGTCCAGCAGAAATGTCGGTTACAATTCCCAAGGCTGCAGGTCTGGGGGCAACCTGTCAGCCAGGCTGGACCCTCCTGGGAGGGCTGTAGGGGAGATTCTGCCCCAGCTTCCAGGGTCTTCCTGGCAGGTGTGGCTGTTCCTGGCTGTGGTGCTCTGTGAGTCTGTCTCCTGGTTTCCCTTCTCAGAGAGACGTAAGTCACTGTTCCCATATGAACTTGTCTACACCGCAGTCACAGGGCACAGGTGCAGTGCACACATCCGCCCACACCTGCACTGCTGCCCTCCCTCCTGAGTCTGCTGGGGCGGGATTCAGACTGCAGGGCCTGCCTCCTGGGCTGGTGTCCCCTGCAGGGGGCTGTGGGCCAGGCATGGCCAGCCATGGGCAGTGAGGCTGAGCACCAGGAGCTGGTGCTGCTGCTCCGGGAGGCAGCTGTGTCAGCTCCGCTCCAGTGAGAAGGCCTGGGGGCTGTGCAGCTGAGCTGGGTGCCTGGATCAGGTGGGTGTTCCTGTGTTGGGCCCACCGCTGGGCAGGCTGGGTGGAGGTGCCCAGTGCTCCATGTCACCCCGTCACTTCACACCAAGAGGCCTCTGCCCACACCCAATCAGTTACAAGGTTTTGTAGCCACAGTGACTGCTGAGTAGATGGACCCACTGGCCTAGGAATAGGAAGCATGGTCCAACCCTGCGGTCAGACCTCAGAGAACTGGCGAGGCCCTTGGTTTCTAGTCAGCCGGGATGGGGACATCCCCATGCAGAAAATGGGCCCTCTGTGACGTCCTCTCTGTGACATCCTGGCCAGACCCGTGTGTGCCCAGCACGTCCTTGGCCTCAGGAAGGTCATTTCCCCTGGGGCTGTGGACACTTGGCTGGGAGAGGAGCCCTCTGCTCTCCAGTGAGTGTCTTGCCTGCAAGTCGGGCTTTGTGATGGACTGGAGCCCAGAGGAGGCAGTCCCACCCCCCAGGTACTGTCAGGGCGCCCAGCTGTGATTCGGAGCCAGGTACCTGGTGGCAGGAAGACTGTGGCCTGTGTCTAGAGAGCCTGCAGGGCTGGGGCACAGCCAGGGGCTTCTCTGAGAGAAGCTGCAGCCCCACAGCCCACCAGGCCCGAGGGTGCTGGAGCAGAAGTATCTGCCTTCCCTTGGCCACTGGCATTTCTGGCCTCAGCTGAGGTGGGTAAAATATACAAGGTATTTGTGAGGCAGCTGAAGAAGTGCCTGTAGACAGATTATTTAGGGGCGGGGGAGGTCGTTGTGGCGTAACAAGTAAGTCACAGATGGCAATACCAGCATCCACGTGGGAAACCTGGGTGCAGTTCCATCCTCCTGGCTTTGGCCGGGCCCAGCCCTGGCTGCTGCGGCTATTTGGGGAGTAAACCAATGGATGGAAGATCTCTTTCCCTCTCTCTGTAACTTTTAAGCAAATAAAATAAACCTGAAAAATAAAAAGCAGCAATGTGTTTATTTTTTAAAGATTGATTTATTTACTTGAAAGTCAGAGTTACAGAGATAGAGAGAGAGAGGTCTTACATCCGCTGGTTCACTCCCTAGTTGTCCTCAATGGCTGGAGCTGCACCGATCCAAAGCCAGGAGCTTCCTCCAGGTCTCTACATGGGTGCAGGGCCCCAGGACTTGGGCCATCTTCTACTGCTTTCTCAGGCCATAGCAGAGACCTGGACCGGAAGTGGAGCAGCCGGGAATCGAAACCAGGACGCATATGGGATGCCGGCACTGCAGGTGTGGCAGCTTTCCTCACTGAAATGAAGTGCCGGCCCCAGCAACAATGTTTTAAAATAAATTAAAAATAACTATTTGTTTGAAAGGCAAGGTGAGTGGGAGATCTATCTGCTGATGGCCCCATATGCTTGCAGCAACTAGGGCTGGGCCAGGCAGGAGCCAGGAGCCCAGAATACATCCAGATCTCCGGTGTGGGCGGCAGGGACCCAAGCACTTGAGCGAGCATCCGTTACCTCTCAGGTTGCACTAGCAGGGAGCCAGATGGGAAGCAGCGTAGCACACCAATATGGCATGCAGCTGTCCCAAGCAACGGCCTACCCCACAGCACCCCATCACGCACCCCTAAATGTCTCTATAAAAGAGGTTCTTCAGTGACCAACACCTGCAACAATGCTCAAGTTCTTTAGGAATCAGGTACACTCAGATGGAGCCTGAAAGCACAGAGCAGTCAGGTAATCACAATGGGAATGACAGCACCATTTGGCAGGGACGCGGCCATGCAAGGGAGCTCATGCTGTGGGTGTGCAATGCTGCAAGCGTTCCAGGAACCCGGCAGTGTCCCCCAGGGTGCAGAGATGCAGCTTCTATGCTGTAGCTCCTCCACTATGTACATACCTGACAGATCTGTGCCGTGTCACCAAAACCTGTGCCAGAGTTTAAATTACCAGCACTCAGAGCCCCAACCGGAAAACACTGCCATGTGCCTGATGGTGACTACTCACGCAATGATTCAACGCTGACAAAGTTGAGACACAGCAAAGTGCAAGAAGACAAGTTCAAGTCAGCCTTTGGAATCAGAAAGGCCAGGTAGAGTCCCTGCCCTCCGACATCATTTACAGCAAGCGTCAGGTGTCGGTTGGCCCCACTGTGTGTCAGCGCTGGTGCCTGAGGCCCTGGGACTCCCCTCAGGTGTGCCTAGCTTCTGCAAAGCTGGTGGCACCCAGGTGTGTCAGGAACGTTTCCTAAGACAGCTCTGCCTGAGGGGACTTGAAGACAAATGTGCCGTCCACAGGCACAGGTGCTGACCCTGCAGCACTGCTGTCGCCTCGCAGGTTGAAGATGCAAGTTCCAGTGAAAATGTGGGGACATAGAAAAGTTAATACAGAGAAGATGGAGAATGAGAAAACAAAGCAAGTGTCAGGAAGGGGCACCTGCTGCCATGAAGCCCAGCCCTTAGTGTGTCCATTATTTCCAGAAACAGACGGCTTGGTCCTATGAAAAGCAAGCAACACATTCATTTGGATACTAGCCATTAATGTGTCCCGTAGTGATACAGATATCAAAACAAACTTTTATGATAAAGCATTTTGACATTGTGGTAGTATTTTTACATTCCATCTAAAATACTTTTTATTTTTTTCTTTATTTTTAAAGATTTGTTTGTTTGTTTGAAAGCTAGAGTTAGAAGCAAGAGAGAGAGAGAGAGAGGTCTTCCATTTGTTGGTTCATTCCACAAATGGCCACAATGGCTGGAGCTGGGAAGATCAGATGCCAGGAGCCAGAGTTTCTTCCAGGTCTCCCATGGGGGTGCAGGGGCCCAAGGACTGGGGCCATTGTCCACTGCCTTCCCAGGCCAAGCAGAGACTGGGTCAGAAGGAGAGCAGTCGGGACTCGAACACATCCGTGATGCCAGCACTGGCAGGTGACAGCTTTACCCACTATGCACAGCACAGCCCCTCTTATTTATTTGGAAGGCAAACTGAGAGAGAGAGAGAGAGAGAGAGAGAGAGAGACCATCCATCTGCTGGTTCACCTCCCATATACTCACCACAGCCAGGCCAGGCCAGGCTCAACCCAACATCCTAAACCCAGGGCAGAAAGTGCAAGAGGAGTGAGGCAGTGTTTTTACACCAGGCACCAATGATCTGCCAGCGCCTCTTAGGAGAATAACTCAGGGAACCTCAACCAGCGAGGGCACAGCTCCTAGGAGCTGCAACTAGGAGGGGCCCATGTCCGCGGCACATTTGCACAGGTGGAACACCGCTCACAACCTCAGATATGGGGAAGCAATGATGAGGAAGCATGAAAACTCATGGTGCAACATATTTATATTAACTTTAATAAAACTCTAATAGGGAGTTACTAACAGTGACTATAGTTAAATAGGAAAAGGAGAAAACATAAGATGGGGCAATTAAACTGATACAACGCAGGCCTCAGCTTCACAGCAGGGAGGCCACTGTCCCAGGCACCAGGCTCACAATGAGCTCAGATCTGCTCCTGAGGTCCCAGCACTCAGGTCACCAGGGCATCATGATGGTGTTCATGGCCTTGAGGCTGCTGCAGGCCTCTTCGCTGAGGGCTCCAGCTGGCAGGAGAGGGCGTAGCTAACGGAGAGAGCACAGCCATGAGTCCACCAAGAGCCTCAGCTCAGGCCTCCCTCCCAGGGCCTGTCCAGGAGCTGCAGTCCTGGGGCCAGCAGTGCCCATGGGACAGGGCCTGCTGCCCACCAGGGGGCCTGGGCGATGCTCCCTGCAGCTGCACAGCAGGGAGAGCCCTCCCACCCCCACCCTAGGCTTCACCTAATTCCTGCCCATCACTCACCTCTCGTTCTCCGTGAGAAACTCCACAGACCGGAACCACACGACAAACTCCTCATCACGCTTAAAATAATACTTGCTCGCTGCCACCTGCAGTAGTTGGATTTCTGCAGGACTGTAATTTCCTGGGGACGGAGGGACACACAGGACACTGTCAGGGCCTGGGCTGGGAACGCTGTGGGGACCTGGTAGGGGAGGGCCCGCGGTGTTCTGGGTGTTTACTCTTAAGAGACAACCTCCACTCTACCCCATGGCAGGCCCCACCCTGGCCTCCGATGGGGTTTCAAACGGCCCCTCCCAGGGGCCTTCTCTCCTTGATTCCAGTCCTCTACCTGCACCCACCCTAGGGATGGGTCTCCCCCTCATGTGTACCCAGCCCTCCTAATAGAGCAAAGCTGCAGGGGTGATGCATGGGGTCCCGACTGGGACCACCTGTGACCCCCATTCCCCTCCTGCCCTGAGTGAGGCACAGCTGCTCACCTTATTCAGTTTCTGGAAGCTGATGTCAGCCTGCTGGAAGGCAGACAGAGTCCATCAGAACCGCCCCCAGCTGGGCCCAGCCCTGACCCTCCCCTCTCATGAGGTCCTCGAGCCAGGCTCTCCCATCCCCGAGCCTCAGGGACCCGGCCCTCCCCACCTGCCCCAGGATCACTCACATGCACAGAGTCCCCCATCGCAGTGTGCAGCATCACCAGGTCTGTCAGGTAGGTGCCAAGAAAGGGGACGACTCCCTGTGCCACAGGGGGTGGTGATGAGCACCTGCTCTCAGCTGCCCCCCAAGCCCTGTGCCCAGAGACCCCTCCACCCCAGCTCCTGGACCCTGGCTCATGTCTCCCCTGGAGCCATCAGGACCTTGGCAGCCTCCCCCATTCTCCATCCTCCCAGCTACTCCAGGACAGCAGGCACCCCTAGGACTCCTGCTGGGAGTACCAAGGGCACACAGGCCATGTGGGCCCCCCAGTGCCACCTCAGCCCCAAGTGCACTGAGAGCCCAGCTGCCCCAGGCCCTGGCTCTGGTCTCTCTGGTGGAGCCCACTGAGGCAGTGTGGGGACTGCAGGGAGGCGCTGGAGGTGGAGGCCCTGCTCCTGTGCTCAGGGCCCTGGTGTGACGGAGGAGTCCCCTCGCCCGAGCCACACCCACCTTCTGTTGTTTCCGCAGCCTCATCTGTGCTCTCTGCGGATTCTTCTCCCGGGAAGCAAGCTTGAAGGCCCCTTCTGCCAGGATCAAGGTCAGGGTCACAGGCCTGCCACACCTGGGCCCTCTGCTGGGGCCCTGCATGTCTGACCCCCTCCCCCAAGTGCACTCTGTGCTCCCACCCTCACTGGGGGCACCTTGAGCAAGGGGCCTCCCTGGGGTCCTGCTCCTTGGCTGGCGAGGGTGCTGGGCACCCCCCCATAGCTGTCCTGACTCCAGCATCCTATGCCTGCCCTCCTCCTCCTCACTGTCCCCTGGGAGGAGGCCAGGCCCTTGCACCACGCATCACCCTTCCTGTGCCTCAACCGACCCCCGTGAGCCCTGCACACAGGCTCATCAGCCCCATCCTCTACTTGAGAAATCAGAGGCCATGGCAGTGACCAGCCCAGGCCACACAGGAGAGCCTGCCCTGCCCCCAGCTGACCGGCACACTGCTTCACCCCAAGTCCAGCTGCACCCCTGGCCAGGAGTCCATCAGGGCTCTCTGTGTCCTGATCCCTGGCCAGGCACAGCCATAGAGGGAGAGGGCCAGGTGGTCTCAGGAGGCCTGGCTGACAGGTGCTGGCCACCCAGCCCCACTGGGTGCTCCCCACACCCCCAGCAGGGTTGACGATGAACCACAGCTTCTGCTGCACATCTCCCTCCACTCAGCGAGTGGCCCCAGGAATCATCTCTAGTGACAGGCAGGGCCTGCACAGGATCTGGGTGGCCACACTTTGCTGCCTCGATCAGGTGGATGGCGTTAAGATGTGGTCAGGACAGAGCCAGCAGGCATGTGTGAGGAGGCCCCAGGAACTTCTTCATCCACTGGAGATGATGTCATTGCCCTGCGCAGGGTGAGAATCCAGCACTCAGGTGATGGGCAGTGGGTCAGGGCAGGACGGACATCACAGCCACAAGGCTGTCTGTCTCTATGTGCCCACTGCACCTGATGCTCGCAGCCGTCGACCATGGGCCCTGGGACACCCATGTTGTTCGGTTTCCCCCCCTCCCCAGTGCAGGCAGGCAGCCTTCCCCATGCAGGTCCTGGGCAGGCAGATCCCCAGGCAAGGGCCTGGCTCCCTGAGGAACCGAGGTCACCTGGTGGAAGGAGGGAAGCCCTTCCTGCCACTCTGCCACACAGCCCAGGGTGGGGTCAGGGGCACAGAGCCTGTCCTGCCAGCCAATACCACCCCTGCACAAGGCCTCACACCCACAAATCACCTCTACCCCCCAAAACACTTGCCCCACCTCCCAGCCCCCTACCTTGGTGAGCCGATCCCTGCTCAAGCCATTGTCCTCTCACACAGGTGCTCCAATTTTTTGCAGCATTTCCTGTGGAGATGGGAAACCAGGAAGGAGCTACTCAGTGTGATGGGAGGGTGGTGAGTGCAGCTCCCTTTACTGGAGAGCAAGGAGATGCACACGTGCCCAGATGAGTTTCCCACTGAGTTCCCTAAGCCCTGGTGCCCAGGGGACAGGCAGGAGCTCAAGTGGTTCGCCTGGTCCCCTCCCCTCCACTGAGCAACACTGTTCTGCCTCAAGTTCACCTGCACAGGGAGCTCTGGTGCTGCCCAGGAGCAGGTGCAGGTGGGCAAGTTAAGAACCTGGGTTTGGGCCGGTGCTGTGGTGCAGAGGGTTAGGCTGATGGCTGTGATGCCAGCATCCCATGTGATCACAGGGGTGCCCAGATGGAGAAGGCCACTGGCTTGGGCCTGGCCCAGCCACTGTGGCCACTGGGGGAGTGAGCCAGCACTAGAAGGTTTCTCTGTCAATCCCTTTTTCTCCATAACTCTGACTTTTACACAATACATAAATCTTAAAAAGGAACCAGCGCCTGACACTAAGTAAATGTCTGTGAGACAGATATCCTGGCCTTGGACCGAGGGAGGCAGTTGCCCTCCCCAACTGGTCCATGTCTGGTCCCCAAGTCCCTGGCCACTGGCCCTTCTCAGCTTCATGGGGGTTAGTGCTGAGTCCTGGGGTCCCAGGCAACCCTGGAGCTCCTGGACAAGACAGGCACCCACCTGGAGACTTCTCCCCACGTCTCTTTCAGACGGTAAAGAAGGTGGACCGCAGAGCAACAGGATGGCGTGGACCGAGGAAAAGTTCCTGAGGGTCTGGCACTCCTGGAGAGCAGAGCGGATGAGGGAGAAGTCACCTGATCCCCCTGGGCTGACGTCCCCCTCCTGCATCAGATGCCCACGGAGCCACAGGAAGGCACCAGGGCACTGTGGCCACCCTCACAGGGAGAGGATTGGGTTCAACCCACGGAGGTTCAGGTGGGAGGTGAGCATGCACCCCTGGGGGAAGTGAGTCAGGTCAGGCCCCTCCCTGCCAGGAAGGGCCCAGGGTCTGTGCAGGGTCTTCAGCCACAGGGTGTACTCCCGAGGGCTGATAAAGCAAAGTGGCCATTCCCAGAGTGCAGTGAGCGAGGGCCCTGGCCACCCGCAGCTGACCTTGGCCACCTTGATCCAGTGCTCCACCACACGGGCCCTGTCCGTGGCCTTCATTTTGGGGTCCTTCAAACATGTGGTTACTACACAATTTGTCACAGTTGAACTGCTGGACGGTGGCACGGACAGTGGAGGCCAGGTGTTCCTTGCCTCTCTTGTTGCGCTCGGTCCAGACGGAGCCCAGGCAGTGGAAGGGCACGACCTTCTGGAACAGCTCCTGGGGAGGAGAGTGTCCCATGGGCACAGCCACCCCCACTCAGAGTGCAGGGGTGCTGTGCATGGGGCTCACAGCGGTGGGAGCAGCAGCCCCTGAGGGTGCCCAGAGCCCCACGGCCCAGAGCCCATTCTTGGAGAGAAGACACAGAGGTGTTTTCTCCCAGGCATCCTGGCCAACTCCCCATCCCTCAGCCCATCGCCATAAGCCCTGTGCTCCTTGTCCCCATCCCAGCGCACCTCCCTGTGGCAGCTACACCAAGGGGCTCTGTTTGCGTTCTGCTCTGGGACCCCGTCCAACTCTGAAGCCTAATAGTGCTGAGACAGGTAAGGCATTCTGGGCAGACCGGCAGGGATGGGGGGCCAGGCTGCACCTCAGTGAGTGCCCTCCACCACCACTGGGCCACACCGTGCCCAGCTTTCTGTCTGTCACTCTGTGTACCTGGCATGAGTGTGTCCCACTCTGCTGTCCACAGGGGACAGGTGGGTTAGGACATGAGAAACGAGCCTGGGTCACACTGGGGCTGAGACATGAAGCCTGGGCTGACTCTGGCCAGGGCTTGTGTGGGACGGCAGGTGCCACAGGGACGCCGTGGTCCTGGCCCTGCGCAGCAGAGCCGGCTGCTCACCGCATCCAGAAGCGTGAGCTGTTCTGCCATCGTCCTGGGGGAGAAGGCGGTGATGTCAACCATCTCCCCCAGGCAGCCTCTCTGCAGTCCCAGCCCAGCCAGAGGAGGCCTGTGGAGCTGGCCCTGGTGCTGATTGTGCGCTGGGGGCAGGCCCCATGGGGAAGCTGGCCCTGTCTGGAGCAGGTCCTGGCTGAGCCAGTGGTGCTGCAGCTGGCTCCAGAGTCCAGTGCGGAAGGGTGCTGGCCCTGCACGCAGAGCAGGAGCTGGAAGAAGAGAAAGGGTCGCCAACGTGAATCACCTTCCAGTGGCCTCTGCAAACCCAGAGGTCGCACTGCCTGGAAGGGGATTCCAGCCCCAAACACCACCCCTGAGAGACCTGCAGACTGTGCTGCCCCTCACCGTCTGCTTTGGCCTCAGGGTGCTGGGCGTGTCCGGGCAGGGCATACAGAAAGTACACCTGGGTCCCCAGATCTCCTCCAGGAAGGCTGACAGCTTGCAGCCCACCTTCATCTTCAGCAGTGGAAGGCTGGTGCGGCCATGGAGCTCTGCCTCGTACAGGTCTCTGCAGCGTCCCAGGAAGGAAGCCATGTTGCTGGGGACGCAAGCGAGGGCAGCAGGGTCAGAGGCTGGCCTTGGCCATCACACTGCACTGCCTGGGGCCCCTCTGTGACTCTGGGGCCCTGGGCATGCCTCAGCCTATCCAGAGCATGACCCCACCCCCCAAGCCCTCCTGGGCTGCCCTGGCCATGGGAGACCTGGTCAACAGGGCTGGTGCACACCCCTGGTGACAGCCTCCCAGTGACCTTTCCTGAGGGGGGCCCCGGCTCAGCACGGAGGCTCCAGGCAGACTTAGGAGCAGGTTTCTCAGGATCTCTGCAGGTCTGGACCTCCTGGGGTGCGGGCAGGGAGCGTGGGTGGAGCTGGGAAGCACCTGTGCTGGGCATGGACCCCTGGCTGTCTGTGCCCCAGCCTCCCCTCTCCTTTGCAGGTCTGGGACCCCATTCCCAGCTCTGTTCTCCTTTCCTTTGTGGGGAGTCCCGGGCCTCGGTACTCTCAGAGGAGTCACAGGAAGTGGGAGATCCACACCCTGTCTGTCCCTCCCCAGCCACAGACCACATTTCGCTCCCAGTTTGCAGGGACAGAAGGCCTCTGACTGGACCCACAGTCCGTGACGTCCTAGTGGGGCCTGGGCTCTGACATCCTGGCAAGACCATGGGGGGACATCCTCTCCCCTCTGACCCTGTGCACAGGACCCAGGCAGGCCTTCAGCTGGGAGAGTCTGGGTCCTCCCAGGTCAAGAGGCCCCGGGAATGCTGTCTGCTTTGTCGCTGAGCTGTGACACGTGTCTGCAAAGTGACTGCCCAGTGTTTACATTCACGTGCTGTGGGATGAACCACACACGGACCCTTGCCAGAGAGCTGAGGGGCCTGGGCCCCACACCCAGTGCCCGGGCCCTGCTCTGTCTGAATCAGGGCTGGGCTGGGGGCCTCCTTTACAGATGGGAAGGCAGGGCTGCTCTCTGTGGGGTTTTCCAAACCTTGAGGGCCGTGGGCTATTGAGTCCCGAGGGTGCAGAGACCAGAAGAAGAGGGATGACGCACACCAGCAGCCCTGGCCACAGAGCAGGCACCAGGCCCCTGCCGTCTGCAGTCACATGGTCCCTGTCAACCCCTGAGGCTCATGCCACACACCCCCGACTTTCAGAGAGCACACAGGCACAGAGGGCCGACTAGGGGCGCAGA